GACTCCGTGCGGAAACGATTGCAGCATGACTGCTGCAGACGCACCGCTCCTGGAGTGCACTGCCGGACCCCAATCGCGTGCAGTGTGAAAGCTCTGATCCAGTGCAGCAGGCAAGCTTGTAATATGGAAAAGCTTACATTCAGCAGATAGAGATATTGCATTATATTGATTTTGTCAGGAAAAAAGATGATCTGAACACTGTTGTGTAAGTTGTGGCTTTACTTTACCCTGGCATTACATCCCACCCACATCCCTCTGATCAGCATGTGGTACATTATATTACTATAATTACAATTCTTTTTGGAAAATTATGTTTCTTACAAACTTATGCGATTTGATAAAATACATAATGAAAATCATATATGGGCAACGGAGAAATTACAATTCGCTTCAAGCTACACATGACAATTAATGAGATTAATACAACACTTCTACTTGAATGTCACTATCAATCAATATTGAGTGTTTGTAATAACTTCTGTCTGCAATCCAATGTGGCTTTTGGTCAAATGAGGCAGAAATTTGTTAGTAACATTCTAGAAGAATTTTATGTGGAAGATACACAGTTACAACTTCTGTGGGGCGTGAAGAAAAAGTAATGTAACTAGTAATTACTGTTGCCAGAAAGTAATAAGTAAAGAAACAATATTAATTTTGAAAGGAGTAATTAGTAATGAGTAATATATTACATTCTTGAGTAACTAGCCCAACACTGCTGTACAACAATAGTTACTACTTTTTCATTATTGTAAGGGGTAGGTGTAGACGTTAATAAAACACAAATAGGTAGAAAATTAAATTTCATTTTTAGTTTCCGGTAGGAGCTGTATCCCTTCTAGCCACAACAGTTTCTGCCGCTGCAAAAGCGCCTCCTGCTGGCAGAGAACGAATTTGCATTTTCAATTAGCCCATCTCCAGCAACATGCTTTTTGTTGTTGCTCACTCTTTTCTTTCCGTTTTCTGCAGCAACTCTGAGCACTTTTAATATTCTTTATCCTGGCTGCAGCACGTTTGTTTCAATCTATAAGAATAATCAGCCTATGTTATAGTATAAAGGTAAAGATATTAATATTAATAAGGTGATTCTGAGAGTCTTATGTTTATTCGACGGTGATTTCACATTTCTTGTTTGTATAAAGGCTAAATACAAATAAAAGGTGAACAGTTTATTTGTACCATTTTTATTTCTATAATATATAGTTCTGTAGAAAGAAATTTCATAGACTTGGCAAATCATTTTTCAGAAGTTTGTAGGTACATACATTTGTTGTGGGCGTTTTTGGCAGTTTTTCTGAGGCTTTTAAAAAAAATATTGTTCATATCGATATCGGAATTATATCGCATCGACCGAAATTAAGAAATATATCGTGATATAAATGTTGGCCATACCCAGCTCACATACCTCATTTGGGGCGCGGATATGCTTGACCTTGACAGGGAAATGTTTTCTTACTTTAGGAATCTGGAGTTCTTTATAAACCCCCAATACAGGCTGGGGCTCCTCCAACCCCTGAAAACACAACATATTGCTACTAAACCAGTTCTGACATTTAGTAAGCAAACCGAGTGACTTCTATGAAAATAATTTAACCAGAAATTCAGGAATTGCATGATGTCAACAGAAATGAAACTTTTACCACTGTGTTTAGATCCCAGTCATCCAAATCAGGGACGGGAGGCTTAACCACATAATCCTGCACATAAACATACTGTTAATATCTACACCTCACATAAGCAAAACAACTCTGCTTTTACTAATATCCACTAATCAGACCTCCTGGCTGCTGATGGCAGGATCAAAACTGGCATACTGGTGATGCACTATTATCTTGCTAAGCGCCATTCCATCCACCGTTATCTCAACTTTTACACAGCCGCACGGATCCTCTGGGTGCTCCTGCAAAACAACAGGTTTATGGGGAGAGTGCTTGTCAACACATGATAATTGACAATTTAGTGATAAATAGAGTTCTGCTGATACATGGAGTGGTGTAGATGTAAATTCACTTACAATAATGTGGACACTGACTGAACGCCCAAGTAGCAACTCCTTCATGAGCACCACAGCATCCCACTGCCATCCCTTCCCAATCTATAACAGTAAAAAACCGAGGATTTGCCAGAGAATTTAATCACATTTAAAAAATAATTTTCAGTGTATTTGGAATAGTTAATTTCAAGACAGCTGAAATAATCTCTCATACCCACCAAAACCCTTTAATTTGCTTCCTTCGCTATTTACTGGTCTAAAACCCCACAAGTTTTCATTACAGTATTGCTGAAATAACCACAAAGATTTTATATTCTCACCACAAGAGTTCATTTAATAAATAAGTGCCTGGGTCATGTTTCATGACAATATAAAAGAAAAAAATATTTGTATAATGCATTAAAGCACATCCTATTTGTAGGACCATTAAGATATTCACTGGATGAAAATTAACTCAATGCAAAAAGACTTTAATGGCTCTAAAATATGCTTTTTCTTTATGCAAAATTACATTTGAAATATTTCACAAATATTGATTTGAATGCTTAAATCCAGAGAAATAAGCAATTTTAACTAGTGACACGGACCGTGTCCATAGTGTCATTGTGTCGCCTGCCAATGACGTTATAACCCCTCGATTTCCGGTTTTGTTTTGTAGAAAACATGAAAACACCAAAGACGCTTTAATATGTTGTGCGTTTTATTAGACTGGTGACGACAGCACAGAGTAGCATTATAACAAAACTTTAGAATGTATCTAGTATGATAAAACCGCCCTGCTTTTTTCCCCACATACGCAAGACCGGAAGGAGCGGAAGCGGTCGACTGTGGCATAATAAAAGCTCCGCTGCTTTCGAGCCGTGTGTC